CACTCCCAACAATGGTGTGCTGGAGCCTGTTTGGACCACATCACAGGACCCACCAGTGCACTGGTAGCTTGAAATCTGCCACAGTGAGAGATTTGCCTTTATATTTGAAGGGACTGGTAACCCACTCCAGGATTCTTGCCTGGAGAATTCCATGGACAGAGGAGCCTGGTGGGATACAGTCTGTGGGGTCGCAAAGAGTCGGACACGGCTGAGTGACTAACGTATTTGTATCCAAATAGTGATGCTTTTCATATTTTGTTTCTCAAATTCTTTAACAGTTTTAAAGATTTTATTGAGTACTGGAGATTGATTATACACCAAAATAATTTGAATATATTTATTCACTCAGAATTATGTATTGAGTATCCACCACATGACTGACATCTTCTAAATAAGAGAATAGTAAATGTTTAACAACTGTCTCTCAGGGGTGAAGGTGAGGCACTGTTTTGTCACGTTTGCCAATTTCCATGATGCAAAGTCAAAATTCAAGGGAAATAATCACAGTAACTATCCTGAGGAAAAGTCCAGAGTTTCTGGGGGAAAAGTGTGGACTCCTTAAATACAAAAATAAAGAGTCAAATCTAAATCAAAATTTTGCTGACTCAATATCATGTGTTGTTTATGAAGTTGCCTCATTTACCTCAGTCATTTTGGTTTTTGACACTTTCTTTTTAAAAATAATTTTACTTATTCATTTATTTTTGGCTGCATCAGCTTTCTCTAGTTGAGACAGGTGGGGGCTACTCTCTATTTCTGTTGTGTGAGATTCTCACTGCGGTGGCGTCTCTTCACGTGGAGCAGGGCTGCAGGTGGCAGGGGCTTCAGTAGTTGCAGCATGTGGGCTCAGAAATTGTGGTTTCCAGGCTCTAGAGCACAAGCTCAATACTTGTGGCACACTGCCTTAGTTGCTCCGTGGCACGTGGGACCTTCCCACATCAGGGATCGAACCTGTGCCTCCAGCATTGGCAAGTGGATTCTTTACCACTGAACCACCAGGGAAACCCAAACATTGTCTTATTCATACTTACAAAACCAATTCACCTGTGTCTTTTAATAATGCCTCATCAGCCCTCTGTTTACTTAACACAATCCCCTGAGAAAACAGGAAAGACAAGATAAATCCAATTCTGTGTGTATAACTTACGTGGAGAAGAAATTTCTAAATCTCTTTTTCTCAAATCAGCATTTGTAGGAAAATATAATAGTCTCTGAAATCTAAGAAAAATATTACTCAAATTGCATGGATATAGAATCACAGAATTAGAAAATAATCATTTAAAATCTGTGCATTAATACAAAGAAATTTTTAATAAGAAGTGTTTTAATTATAAGAAAAGGGGCAAATATAAGAAGTGTTTTACTAACCTACCCAGTGCAACTGAGGTTTTTTTTTTTTTTCAAGAAAGTCCTTTATTGACTGTTCAATCTATTCTGATTTTTCTTTTTCTTTTTACTTTTTTTTCATTTATTTATATTAGTTGGAAGCTAATTACTTGACAACATTGTAGTGGTTTTTGCCATACATTGATATGAATAAGCAATGGATTTACATGTGTTCCCCATCCTGAATCCCCCTCCCATCTTTTATACAGAGCTTGTGTAAGAGACAAATAGCAATTATGAGTTGTGGTATAGTGAAATGTGCCCCAAATCTTGCAGTATAAGGAATGAAGGCTGTTGTGGTCAAATATTACCAGTTGAACCACAATGAGAATATAATCCTTGAGAGCTACTGCAGAGTTAACTCACCATATTTGTTTTCAGAGTACTATAGAAACCAAATAAATTACTAACTCACTTCATCAACTCTGAAATGATATAATCATTGAAGTGATCAGACCATAAAATTTGAGACTAAATCATCAAGAAAAACCAGGAAGTAAGTAAAATTTGTTATTATTCAAGTTAATGCATATTATTTATCTCAATTATATGTCTTAAAGTATTATTTGCATATGGGTTTGTGAATTTAGGAAATTTTTGTTATTAAAGAGTAAGTGGTGGTTTACTAACAAGAAAACTATTCATGGAGTCCTAAAGAAGCAGCATAGCAATAAGTTTTGAGTTGTTCATTAATTTTTCTTAAGTTGAAAAGTTTTCTTTTATAGGAATAAAACTGTAAAAATGACATTTCCTACTTAAAGGAATATCTGCTTCCCAGTAAAGGTTTTGACCATCTACTTATTCGTTTGATAAAGTAAAATTGTAAAGCAAAAGAAAACAAGTGTGCATTGTATGAACTAAACTGTGTCCAGGCAATTATTTCTTTTGGTAGCAGAAGTTACCCTTCCTGTGCTTTTAGTCTATTATAAGGAAGGGAAGAAGGGATTGCATCAACCGAAGCCTTAAAAGGTAATTTGGGACAGAGTGCCAACAAAATATCCCCATGGGGAAACACCCATATTCTGAAGTGAGATATTACTGTGTTGTGTGGTTGTTGCTCAGGTGGTTAGTCGTGTCTGACTCTTTGTGACCCATGAACTGCAGCATGCCAGTCTTCGCTGTTCTTTACTGCCTCACGGAGTTTGCTCAAACTCATGTCCACTGAGTCAATGATGCCATGAAGGTAGCTCATCTTTTTTCTGTTTTCGCCTTCTCCTCAGCCCTCAATCTTTCCCTGAATCAGGGTCTTTTAAAGTGAGTCTGCTCTTCCCATCAGGTGGCCAAATTATTGGAGCTTCAGTTTCTGCATCAGTCTTTCCAGTGAATATTCGGGGTTGATTTCCTTTGGGATTGACTGGTTTCATCTCCTTGCTATCCAAGGGACTCATGAGTCTTCTCTAGCACCACAGTTCAAAGATATCGATTCTTTGGCTCTAAGTCTTCTTTATGGTCCAACTCACATCCGTACATGACTATTGGAAAACCACAGCTTTGACTGCTTGGACCTTTGCTGGCAAAGTGATGTTTCTGCTTTTTAATACACTGTCTAGGTTCATAATAGCTTTTCTTATAAGGAGCAAGCACCTTTATAATCTCATGGCTGCAGTTACCATCTGAAATGATTTTAGAACCCAAGAAAAGAAAATCTGCCACTGTTTCCATTTTTTCCCCTTCTACTTGCCATGAAGTGATGGGACCAGATGCCGGGATCTTAGCTTTTTGAATGCTGAGTTTTAAGCCAGGTTTTTCACTGCCCTCTTTGACCTTCATCAAGAGACTATTTACTCCTCTTCACTTTCTGCCATTAATGTGGTATTATCTGCATAACTGAGGCAATTGATATTTCTCTCAGCAATCTTTATTCCAGCCTGTGATTCATCCAGCCTGGCATTTCACATGATGCATTCTACATATAAGTTAAATAAGCAGGGTGATAATCTTCCCTGCTGGCTCAGATGGTAAAGTCTGTCTGCAACGCTGGAGATGCAGGTTTGATCCTGGGTTAGGAAGATCCTCTGGAGAAGAAAATGGCAACCCACTCCAGTATTCTTGCCTGGAGAATCCTGTGGACAGAGGAGCCTTGTGGGCTACAATCCATGTGGTCTCAAAGAGTCAGACATGACTGAGCGACTAAATCACACACACATTAACCAGCAGGGTGATGATATACAGCCTTGAAGTATTCCTTTCCCAGTTTCGAAACAGTCCATTGTTCCACGTCTAGTCCTTACTTTGCTTCTTGTCCTGCATATACAATTCTCAGGAGGCAGGTTAGATTGTCTGGTATTCCCATCTCTTTAAGAATTTTCCACAGTTTTAGTATGTTGACTAGTAGTTTAAACTAGTGAAAGTCACCTAAACAAAGTGGGCCTCAGTTATGCAGAATATAAAATGTGGAAGTAGGCATACATAAACTGTGTACACTTTCAAACTCTCTATTTAGATTAAAATGCAAACTATACTGGTTTTTATAATACTGAGGAAAGCAGAAGAATCATTAAAATCTGTGTGTTTTACAAAGGAAGCTAAATATTTTAAAGAATAACTTGAAACAACTAAAAACTATTAGACAGATAAGCCTTATATAAGTGTTATCATATGAGTTTTATTTTATCCATAGTCTATGACAATGTATTTTTGAAGAATAAATAATACTGAACTTCAGATAATATTCCTTACTAGAATGAAAAGTTGAATGGAAATTGGAGAGAGTTCTGTAGGTGAACATGTTTTTAAATTTCATTCATTATCATCATGAAGGATACTTTAAAAGCTTTGTATTCTATGCTCAAATGTATTTTGATCTTTTATTTCTTATAGGAAACACATCCATTTTCTGTTTGAATGGGGGCAAAGGATCAGCAATGAAAAACTATACAAGACCCACAGAATTCATTCTTCTGGGGCTATCAGATGATCCAGAGCTTCAGACTGTGACTTTTCTCTTTTTAATAATCACATATATATTAAGTGTCACGGGAAATTTGACCATCATCATTCTCACCTTGGTGGACTCCCATCTAGAGACACCTATGTATTTTTTCCTCAGGAACTTCTCCATATTAGAAATTTCCTTTACAACGGTCTGTATTCCTAGATTTCTGGGCACAATTATCACCAGGGACAAAACGATTTCATACAATGATTGTACAGCTCAGCTGTTTTTCTTCATCTTCTTGGGTATCACTGAATTTTATCTTCTAACTGCCATGTCCTATGATCGCTATGTAGCTATCTGCAACCCCCTGCATTACACAAGCATCATGAACAACAGAGTCTGTGTATTGACTTAACAAAGAAAATAGTAGAAGAAATGACCCTGTTTAAATGTTAACATGTAATTTTTATTTCATCCATGGCCTGTGAGAGTGTATTTTTGAAGATTAGAGTTCAATATTTAACTTTTCAGATAATATTCATTACTTGAATGAAAGGTTGAATGGAAACTGGAGAAAGCTACTGTATGGGAACAGAGGTTTTAAATTTCAAACACTAACTTCATGATGGAATATTTAAAAGTTTTGTATTCTATCCTCAAATATCTTTAACATTTTTATGTCCTATAGGGAGAGCATATATTTTCTGTTCTAACAAGGGAGAAAAAAGGATCAGAAATGAAAAACCACACAAGACCCACAGAATTCATTCTTCTGGGGCTATCAGATGATCCAGAGCTTCAGATTATGACTTTTCTCTTCTTAATTATCACATATATATTAAGTGTCACGGGAAATTTGACCATCATCATTCTCACCTTGGTAGACTCCCATCTACAGACACCTATGTATTTTTTCCTCAGGAACTTCTCCATATTAGAAATTTCCTTTACAACGGTCTGCATTCCTAGATTTCTGGGCACAATTATCACCAGGGACAAAACGATTTCCTACAATGATTGTACAGCTCAGTTGTTTTTCTTAATTTTCTTGGGTATCACTGAATTTTATCTTCTAACTGCCATGTCCTATGATCGCTATGTAGCTATCTGCAACCCCCTGCATTACACAAGCATCATGAACAACAGAGTCTGTGTATTGTTTGTCTTTTGTGCTTGGCTGGCAGGGTTCTTAAACATCTTCCCACCTGTTATTCTTTTTCTCCAGTTAGACTACTGTGGTTCTAACATCATTGACCACTTTGCTTGTGACTATTTCCCCCTCTTGCAACTATCCTGCTCAGACACATGGCTCCTTGAAGTGATTGGGTTTTATTCTGCAATAGTGATTCTGCTTTTTACTTTGGCATTAATAATTCTATCCTACATGTTCATCGTCAAGACAATTCTGAGACTACCTTCTGCCAGTCAGAGAAAAAAGGCATTTTCTACATGCTCTTCTCACATGATTGTCATTTCCATCTCTTATGGAAGCTGTATATTCATGTATGCTAACCCTTCAGCAAAAGAAAAGGCATCCTTGAACAAAGGAGTTGCTATTATGAATACTTCTGTTGCTCCTATGATGAATCCATTCATATATTCACTGAGGAACCAGCAAGTGAAGCAAGCTTTCAAGGATACCATCCAAAAGGTCATCTTTTTCTCCAGTAAATGCAAGTGATTATATCATTAGAAGAATAAAGTTCTTGTTAATACTTTCTATTACTCATAATCTGTCAAAAACTCTTTCAATACAGTTGTATGATTCCTTTTCATTTATTTCCATATTCAAATTTTACCCACACTCAGCCCAATAAACTGGTTAAAACTGACTATTATTTCAGAATATTCTGTAATTTTTTTATTCAAATATACTTGAACGAAGTAAAAAAATACAGGTAAATGTTACAATTTTGAGTAGAAACTTTATTTTTAAAGATGCACAGGCCATTTAGTTTGATGAAAAGTGTATGAGGGTTGATGTGGATTTCTGAAATTTTCATTTTAACAGGTAATAGAAATGGCATTATTAGGAAATTTTATTCTATTTGGAATTTTCAGGAAATCAAACGATGGCAATCACTAGAGTGCTGGAAATAAAATATAAATATCTATTCAAATATTTTTAAAAGATTAGAAATTCAAGTACATTGAACTCTTTTTACTATTAATAATACTATTATGATAATGAGGAGAAAGAGAAAGGGAGGGTTGAGATTAATTTTTGTCAGCAATTACTATATTCCAGACCTATTCTAATTATTCTCTTTATATTGGCTGATTGAATCTTTCCAACAATTTTATGTCATTGTTCAGTCACTCATTCAAGTCTGATTCTGTGTTCCCATGGACTGCAGCACACCAGGCTTCCCTGTCCTTCACTATCTTCCTGAGTTTGCTCAAACTCATGTCCATGATCTGGTGATGCCATCCAACGATCTCATCCTCTGTTGCCCCCTTATCCTCCTGCCCTCAATTTTTCCCAGCATGATGGTCTTTTCCAGACAGTTGGCTCTTTGAATCAGGTGGCCAAAATTTTGGAGCTTCAACTTCAGTAGTAGTCCTTCCAATGAATATTCAGGGTTGATTTCCTGTAGAATTAACTGGTTTGATCTTGTAGTCCAAAGGACACTCGAGTCTTCTCTAGCAGCACAGTCTAAAAGCATCAATTCTTGGGTGCTCAACTTTCTTTATGGTCCAACTCTCACACTCATACATAACCACTGGAAGAAAAACAGCTTTCACTATATGGATCTTTGTTTGCAAAGTGATGTCTCTGCTTTTTAATACACTATCTAGGTTCATCATAGCTTTTCTTAAACAACTTTCTGAGGTAACTATAATTGTTTTTCTCTTGAAGAAATTTTTACCTTGTTTTTCATTTGGAAATGTTTCATATGATTGTTCTTATTTCACAGCCATGATGAAAAAATTGGAACTACATTCAATTGGCAATAGAGAAGGGTAAGAAAGAAAAGGGATCCAGATTGGAAAAGAAGAAGTAAAACTTTCATTGGAGACAGCATGATACTATACCAAAAAAAAAAACAAAACAAAAAAACAAAACCCTAAAAATACTATCAGAAAATGACTAGAGTTAATCAGTGAGTTTAGTAAGGTTGCAGGATACAAAATCAATACACAGAAATCCCTTGAATTCCTATACACTAGCAACAAAATTCCAAAAGAGAAATTAAGGGATCAACCACATTAACCAAGGCAACAAAAGAGCAAAATATCCAGGAATAAATGCACAAAAGAGGAAACAATACAGGAAACAATGAGACACTGATGAAAGAAATCAAAGATAACATAAACACATAAAGAGATATACCAATTCTTGGATTGGAAGAATCAATGTATCAAAATCACAGTTCTAAAAGACACATGTACCCTAATGCTCATTGCAGCAAAATTCACAATAGCCAGGACATGGAAGCAACCTTGATGTCCATTGACAGATAAATGGATAAAGAAGTTGTATTAAGCACATGCACAGAGAAGGTTGTCGTAGGGTCGCAAAGAGTTGGCCCCTACTGAGCACACATGCACAACCATATGCTGGGTTATAAACTGGATCATAAACAAAGTATCCACATAAAGGAACAAATTTGAATCAGTTGTAGTGAGGTGCATGAATCTAGAGCCTACTATACAGAGTGAAGTAAGTCAGAAAGAGAATTGCTGCTGCTGCTAAGTCACTTCAGCCGTGTCCGACTCTGTGTGACCCCATAGACAGCAGCCCACCAGGCTCCCCCATCCCCGGGATTCTCCAGGCAAGAATACTGGAGTGGGTTGCCATGTCCTTCTCCAGCGCATGAAAGTGAAAAGTGAAAGTGAAGTCGCTCAGTCGTATCCGACTCTTAGCGACCTCATGGACTGCAGCCTACCAGGCTCCTCTGTCCATGGGATATTCCAGGCCAGAGTACTGGAGCAGGGTGCCATTGCCTTCTCCCAGAAAGAGAACAAATGTTGTATATTAATGCATACACATCAGTTCAGTTCAAACAGTCAGTCATGTCTAACACTTTGGGACCCCATGGTCTGCACCATGCCAGGCCTCCCTGCCCATCACCAACTCAATGGATATCGAGTCAGTGATGTCATCCAAACATCCCATTCTCAGTCATTTGCTTCTCCTCCTGCCTTCAATCTTTCCCAGCATCAGGGTCTTTTCCTATGAGTCAGTTATTTGTATCAGATGGCCAGAGTATTGGAGTTTCAGCTTCAGCATCAGTCCTTCCAATGAATATTCAGGATTGATTTCCTTTAGGATGGACTAG